TTTAGGTAGGGTTTGATGTGTTTTTCTTTGTATTTGACATTATTATTGAATAAAAAGGCATTGAAGTTTTTCATTTCATATTTATTTATTTTTGAAATGATTGTTTACACATCTTTACGAGTGTCACCAAGCTAGAATCCGTTTTTCACACAAACAATTTGCCCTGGCGCTGAGATAGCGAGTAGGATGAGACATTTGTGTCCTCAACGCATTGGGCTGTGAGACTGAACACGTGTATGTTGAATGTACCAATATGCACAAGGTAAACGTCGCCTTAGAAATATCTAAGATGAGACTCAATAGAAGTCGAACATGAGATTTGTTTCATGTTGAAGCTTGTAAAGCTGGATATGAGTATCTAGGTGGACACCGAGAAGGCGACTAGGCTAGAAGACTTAGGTTAGGCGCTTGTGTAACGACTAGACTAAGATCCGTATGGTGTATGTCTAATGGACATGTGACACACTCATTGAAATGAGGATACACCATGGCATACAAATCATAATGTATATGCTATAACCGACTGATAGTGGGAGTGATGAATTGATCCCTGCTTCAATCACTGTGTGAACTATAAGGAATCTATACGATTCCACCCTTATGCCCTTTGAACTAAAATCTATGTTGGAAAGATGAGGTTTAATGATCGCTACTTTAGCATGTTTATCTAAGATGGTCAAGTTAGCTATTGTCCCAAGAGGCGTGTCTAGGCAAGCAATTAAATGAAATTAGATTGACATGAGAGCTTAAGGAAGACAGTTCGAAGAAAACACCATGTCATGTGATTCATTAACTGTGCAACGCCTTTTGATATTTGTTATCAAACATAAGACATGGATACATGATACTTGTGAGACATGACATTGTTTTTATTTCATAACGAGGGATAAATAATGTCAAATCTAGTGTGTGACGAACAGTCTGGGGCATAAAGCAATGAACTTCCGAGTGATGCACTGTTGTTAATTTAGTGATAGCTTAATGGCAGTGCTCCTAGTTATGTACGTTCTTTCACGCGAGGTTGCACGTCCCATTTCCTGTATGAGGAGATATACTAGAATAGATGTGAACTAAGTGTGTTGATTGAGACTATGCCACACCCTATGTGGGTGAGTGGGAGATGTAGGATTTATCTTATGGGAGAAATAAATATCAAAGGATATTCCACCCACATGAGGATATTAACCATCTAATTATCTATGTGATAATTAGATTAAAATCAAGAGATTTTCATATCAGAATATACTTGGGATTTTCATGGGCTTTTCAGTCTTTGCACACTCTTCCCAACCATTATATAAGGAGGCTTTGGGGAAGAGAGAAAATATAAGAAACACAAGTTTTTCCGCAGTTCAAATATTCTAGTTAGGTCTTTAGAGCTATCACTTTCGGCTCTAGGTCTTGGGAGGCGAAAACCAAGGGGCAACTCGACATACTGTAGCCAACCCGACGACCTACGAGGTTCTAGACGTGCACGGAGGGTCAAAGCAGTTGTTCGTGTTTGTAGGAGCATGTTGAGATTCAAGCTTTCGCATAAAAGGTACACACGTCCTTTCAAATTTATTTATAGTCTTCCAACAGCTAAATTGTTTAGTTGGTTATTTTGTATTATAGTCTATTAGTATTTCATTTCATTTCATTTGTAACTTATAAGTGAGAAGACTTAGTTTCAAATATTGTGAGTGATGAGTTGAATATCGTTATATACAAAATAAAATTATTTATTTGTTCCTAACATGATAGGTGTAAGTGTCCAATTGTTCTAAGTATAAGATAAAAAAAGGCCCTCTTAATAATGATCAAAGACAGAACATTAAGATCATCAGATGTATACAACATGCGATATTTTAATTTTGAACAAATGGGACCTGGACTATCATGGTAACCATTTGCTAGTTTCGCCTTTAGTAATGATACTTGGTTGAAATTGGAATTGGACACATAGTTCCCATGTGGAACTCCCTTAAATCTCGACGATGTGTGACTCTATTCTCCACCAAGTAGGTGTAAATCGACTAATTCTTATGATAAAAGTAGGGTTTTTTATTTGTCCATACTGTACGTAGTAAAAATCTACTCGAAAATCCTACTTTTGGTTCGAGTTTTTGAACTCCGGCCGGGGGTGAAATTGCCTAAGGGGAAGAAATACTCATTACAGTTTGTATACTATGGAGATGTGATCTACTTAATTACGCTTCCTTGACTTGAAAGAAGTTGGGTATGGCAAGTTCTTTAACAACGGTGATGGGCAAATTTAGTTTACCTAACGTCAAAGATCCTTTACCTTTCAGCATCAACCAACCCAGAAAGGACTTTATTTTTTGTGCCAGCTTCTACTTCATAACTCAAGCTTCTTATTTTGGTTGCAAGGACCAGTAAAATCTGCAGTTGGTGCATTGGTGCATGGCCTAACTTGGTACACATGTGCATTCTCAACGAGTATTAAGCTTTAGCACATTTTAGTGTGGTGGCTCTGTGAAAGTTGTTCAATGGATTTAAGCAGGGTGCACAAAATGTCACTTAAATGTTTGACACGATCTACTGCCGCCCTTTGGGTTTTGTTGGGGGGGTGGGGTCTTAGCTGAGCTGTTATCATTCAACCACTACCTAGGTGCGGCTTGGCCCTGCGAGCCTTTTATACATGATTTATCATTTACCAGTACAAGGAGTAATGTTCTCTTGTAAGATAAGTTATCTATATATATATATATATATATATATATATATATATATATATATATAATATATATATATCTATTATGTTTTCAGATTGTGATATGAGTCATTCATCAAGTGATTTGTTGTTCAAAGAATGCCTAACTTCCAAAGAATAAATCATCTGATAGAGGAGCAAAAGTGGATGGCGGACATCTAAGAAATACAAACAGTTCGGTAAGAGAATATTACTCTTAGTATAGGTAATGGCGTTTGGATAGATCTGATTGAATGAATATAATTGCATACGGTGATTTTTCTTCTTTTCCTGCAGTAATTTCACCAAAGCAGTTTATCTTTTTTCTATTTTTCTTGCTTGATGAAATGTTTTAGAGTGACTAAGTAAGCAACTAGTCATATTTTCTCGGCCTCGAAAAAAAAATGGAAGTACTTGATGAAATGTTTAAGAAACACCAAGGTAAGTTGGACGTTGTACTAATTTTCTTAGCCCGACGGAAAAATTCCTGAATCTGCCACTACCACTTAGTGCAACCATAACCATCTAAATCACCATTACGACTACAGCAATTAGAAAGCTGAATAATTACTTATCCATTCAATGCAACTATCAACCAGTATTTAAATACACAAATAATTGGATTTCTTACCTGTTCAAAAACTTCCAGAAGATAGATCCAAAAGTTGCCCGACTTTTTCCCCCAAGTGTATAGAGTTGTTATAAATCAATTTATGGTCTACATTTAACTCGTGACAGTTATTGATTGCCACTTTAGTATATAGTACAAAGTGTCTTTCAAAGATATGTAAGAACTAACAGCTGCTCAGCCTGCTCTGCAGTCTTTATGTAACAAAAAATAACTTGCTGCAGAAACTACTTGGACCTAATAAAGTTGCAATTCATAATTCTTAGGTTTTGAAATTTAACAACCAAATCTGCAATCAACATGTACTTTCATTTCCCATATTGGTAATTAAGAGATGAGCTGTCGAAATGGGTTCCCAAAAAGCAAAAACTACGTGAGATTTATATAAAGAGCCATGTTGCGATCAATCTACTACACATGAATAATATTATTAGTGCTTTACCTTTAAGTTTAATTTATGCAGAAGCAAAATGTCAACAATAGTCAAGAATCTATGTGTATTTGCATGACTGCCCTTAACAAATTCGCTATATAGAATTCACTCCTTAAATATAGTGCCAACATTAGCATGTGCTATGGAATTACAGAAAACCAGTTGAGGAAGGTAATCTGGGTTTGACTCTTGAGACCTTCTTTTGGATTTGTACTTGGAGGATCTTCAATACTCCCACGAGGTGTCATTTGGTTGAAACCATGCATATGCATATGAGGGCTCCATACATATATAAAAGAATTATTTTAGAAATAAAATTTGAGGGGGTATTTTATATCTCAACAAACAAAAAAAGAAGGTTTTGAAGTGCAGCTTTGTCATTAACTACTTGCTTGAAAACTGAAAACTGAAAATGAAATGATTATCAAACGGCTCTACATAAATGGATTAGCTTTTTTATCTTTGGATGCTGAGACACAATAGCTCTTGTGCAGAGGCTAGTTTAATATAATAGGGTCTATGGGGAGATCTTTTTCAAGCTAAAATGTTCAATGCTTAAGACTATTGCCTTCTTTTGTTTTTATTTATACAAAAGTCTGTTTAAATCAATAAATATTTTCATAATTAGAAGTTAATCTAACCAAAACACTCCAATTTTGTATATAGATCCAAAGCACCGCAAGTTTTTTTTTTAAAGGATGACATATTACTTTAAACTAATGTAAACCATGAGAATCGAGATTCGAACCTGGATTCATGTAGAAGGGACTACATCCACTTTAGTGATCAATGTGGCTATATTCATTTCTACAAAGTGCCTTAAGTAGATGTTAGAACTTGCTTCTTTAGAAAAAGAAAATCACTTTAAACTTCTCTAAACCACGAGAAGTGGGCTTTGAACTTGAGTGCATAAGAGGGAGCGCATCCAATTTAGTCAATGTAGTTATGTCCACGTCTGCAAAGTAATTTAAGGTAGATGTTACATCTAGCTACTTTAGAGGAAAAAAAATAGACAATATTCTACTTTAAACTAATCTAAATCACAAAAAGAAAGATTAAACTCATGTACAAAAGAGAAAGCACATGTATTCTAACCAATTTTACTACCCACCTTTGCAAAGTACTTTAAGTTAGATGTTACAGCTAGCTTTTAAGATAAAGAAAAAAAGAAAGGGAAGAATTGAAAAGTATATGTTACTGTCTAGCTGTCCTATATGGATCAGTTATATTTCATATTACATGCACAACTCCCACATTCTTTGACACTACCACATACTTCTCCTTCTCTCTCTCTCTCTTCCTCTCTGACAGCAAATATGGTACAATCAAAGAAGTTCAGAGGGGTCAGGCAACGCCACTGGGGCTCCTGGGTTTCTGAGATTCGTCATCCATTACTGTATGATCTGTTCCTCTCTCTTCTCTTCTCCTACCAACCCTCTTCTATTCATCTTTGCCATCTATTGATTCCACTATTGTATTGATCTCAACAAACTATCCACCACATACATCCATTTTTGGGTCACAATTACATATCCTCCACAATGCTTAACACACACACACGCACACTTATATATTTACGGCATCAGTTTCAAGTACTAGTTAGAAAATTTTATGTTGCTGCTCTAATACTAATCATACTTTGATTATACAACTTGCATATGGAATTATATATACTGCTCTAGTTATTGATTCTTTGTTTTCTTCAAATATACAAAATGTCCCATTATAGCATGGTGGTGCTAAATCTTATTTAGGACTTGTTTAGTGCATGGTATTAATTTTGGGTTTTGGGGTTACAGGAAAAGACTGAAGTGGCAGTTTAGTTTACAGATTTAGTATGCATGACTAACTTTGTTAGCTACTACTTAGGAAATGTGAAAGAAATGTCAGGTAATTGATTTGATCTTTAAATAGTACATGGTATCACTATTAACGTTCTAATAATGTTTTAATGCAGGAAAAGAAGGGTGTGGCTTGGGACATTTGAGACAGCTGAAGAAGCAGCAAGAGCGTATGATGAGGCGGCAATTTTGATGAGTGGGAGAAATGCCAAAACAAACTTTCCAGTCTTCACAAATGAAATGGCTGCAGCTAACGATCTTAACAACAATTCTAGCAACAGCAACAACAACTCTTCCACCTCTTCCACAACACTTTCAGCAATCCTCAGTGCCAAGCTTCGCAAGTGCTGCAAGTCCCCGTCTCCTTCCCTCACTTGCCTGAGGCTGGACACAGAGAATTCCCTCATCGGGGTCTGGCAAAAGGGTGCTGGACCCCGGTCGGATTCAAACTGGCTGATGATGGTTGAGCTGGACCAGAAGAGTCGTTTGCAAGCACCCCAATCAGAAATTAGTAGTAGTACCTCTTGTGCTTTGGATACTGAGGGAATGGCAGGTGGGCAGGAAGGTGGGGATGTTGATAATAGGATGATGGATGAGGAGGAAAGGGTTGCATTGCAGATGATAGAGGAACTTCTGAATAGAAATTGACTAAATTTGCTACTTAAGTTGGTATAATCCCTATCAATCATCACATGGAGGTTGATCAACTCACCAAAGTGTGCGAGGGATGACCATGTGCTTAGTCTTGTCAATGGGATTGTTTCTTCGTGTGACTGTGAGTCTGTGACCTCATAAGGAGGAGAAAATATATTACGTATACGTCTCCATCTATCTCCATATATTTGTAATCCCCTATAAAATGTGTCACTCTAGAAACTCTTTGGTTGGTATACGAAATAAGGAACACACGTGAGAGGAAATACTAGTCACAATATATTTGTTAAAATTAGGGCTTGCGATGAGATATGTGTAATAACCAAAATTGATTGATTGATTGTGGTTTTCACTTTTAAGTTCTCCCTCTCGCTGTTCAGCAAAAAATTGAATAATTAACTTGTTCTTGTATAATCCTAAAAATATATAAGTGGCACTGATGAACGGGATTGGCAGCAAGATAAGTGGCACTGAGATTGTCACAATGAAGTAAAACTGGAAAAGATAAGCTAACATCAAGCTCTCGAAGAAGAAAACAAAGCCATGTAGTTTCAGCACAAGCATGAGTAAGAGATCCGTATTCAGATTCGGCACTGGAGTAGGCGACTGTTGACTGCTTTTTGGAGTACCAGGAGATGAGATTAGTGCAAGATTAACAAGGTAGCCAATGGTAGAGCGGCGAGTCTCCAGACAACCCGCCCAATCAGAATCATAGTAAGCAGACAATGTAACGAAGAAAACTGAGGTGCCAGAGTTAAGCCGACATCCAAAGTACCTTTGACATATCGGAGAATGTGATTGGCATCAATACGTGGGTGGTGCAAGGAGCGCTCATAAATTGAGCAACAGTGTTGATAACAAAGGAAATATCCAAACGAGTGAGAGTGAGATACTGTAAGGAGCCAACCAACTCACAATATGTAGTGGGATATGCTAGTAATGAGCCATCAGAAGCAGTAAGACACCTTTCAAGCAAAGAAGAGTAGAGGCAGGCTTGCAAGAGAGCATGCCAAATTTCTGTAAGCGATTATGTGCATACTTGAGCTGATGGATGTGCTTACCATGTAGAAATATGACTCCCATGTATTGATGTGTGTAAATATTACATTCTCTATAGAGGGTTATACAAATTCCTATTTAGGTAGGAATCCTACGCTAATTACATTGGAAAATTACATTCCTATAATACATGCAATAATTACGGAGCAGCCTCTCCATAATGAGCGGTAAGGCTAGCCGACATTCACCTCTCCCAGACCCTGCGTAAAGCGGGAGCTTTGTGCACTGGGTACGACCTTTTTTTTTAACATAATGTTTTGCTATAGAGGGCTAATGTAGTTCATCGTATTGTTTTGGACAATCAGATTATTGATGTGAATGTGGTTGCTAATCGGATAGCGATATATGGAGTAAGATTTTCTCCCCTCTAAATTTCGCTCCTCTCCCCTCCCTATTTGAATGGTCACGATTAAGTTACGTCAACATTTTATAATATTGACTTCTTTATAAAAAGAGAAATACAGAAGAAAGTGAAAGGGGATGGAAGGGGAGAGGAGGGGAAGAGAGAAGATGGAATTTGAAGGAAAGAAAATCCTACACCGCAATATATAGCCTCAAGGTTCTAAAAAACGCTAGTTGCTTGTCGGGCAGTGAGCTGGCGCCTAGCGCTTAGGCAGCTAGGTGAGATCTAGGCGGACATCTAGGCAGCCTAAACAAATTTAGGTAATTTTTTTGTATATCTTGTAAATAAGTGCATATTGACACATAAAAAATTATACTTGTATGAAATTCATGAATAAGATAATAAAAGAATAGTGATATTGGTTATATATATATATATATATGTATATATAAAGTGAGAAAGTGAAAAATGTGAAGTTTCAAAAGATCAAGAAATTCTTCTCCCTGTTTTAGGGTTTTAAAATAGAATAATAAAGATAAAATAGTAATTTAAGACATTTTAAAAGAAGAGATATAGTATTTGATTTTTTTTAAACATTTTTTAAAATGGGAAGAGATAAAATCCCACCTTATGTCTGACCCTACATCTCCAACCCCTCCTTCACATCACCAGAGAAGTCTCAATCCAACATAATGATGTAATAGTAGAGAAAAGATTAAAGAAATCAATTATATTATTTAATGATTAATGGTAAGGCATAGTGGTGAACGAACTGTAAATACAGTAAAGTGGGTCTCTTTCTCGCACATCTCCGTCCTCTCTCGCGCATCTTCTTCTTCTTCAATCTGGGTTGTTTTCCATTTTCTCTTCCTCATCACTCACATATACTTCTTATATTTTTCTCTGTAAGTTCCCTTCTTCGTCGAGTCTAGTATCCAAAGAGTTGATTTGCATATCCGAGTCTGCCTAAGACGAGAGGGCATGGAACAGAAGACCAGAGATGCAAAGGCGCTGGCGATGGAAGAAGACCAGTATCAATCCGTCTAGACATGCCGCCTAGCACCGCAAACTGCCTAGAGCACCTAGCGAGCGCCTAGTCGGCCGCCTAGCTCCTCACCGATTTTGTGAACAATTTGCTCTAAATCGTATTGGACAACCATCGCTCAACACCTATACTGTTTTTTAGAACACTGTATAGCAGCCAGGGATTCGAATCTTTCTTTTTGGATGGATGTTGGACTTCCATGGTTGATGGACTCTGTCCATAATGAGTCTGTACCCTTTTTAGAACACTGTATAGCCCAATGCCAGGGATTCGAATCTTTCTTTTTGGATGGATGTTGGACTTCCATGGTTGATGGACTCTGTCCATAATGAGCCTGTAATCAATGAGTAATGAGTCCTAAGGAATTGCACTTGCTACTCTTAGCCCAAAAAACAAAAAAAAAGATTACAAATATAGAAAAAGTATTGACAAAAAAGATAGAAAAGGTCACTTGGCACGTGCGTGGATCCATAATGAACGGCTAGTAATATACAAAATTACTCCCACTTTTTAGTTTATTATCGCGCACTCTCCAATCATTTACAAATGAGTGCATGATAAAAAATCAAGTGTGGATAATATTTCTCTTTCATCAAGTGGTTGCTTGAATTTTCTGTTGCCCCACCCAATTATTAAGAGATGCAATGACCTAATTCATAAGAACCCGTCCGGCCATGTCTCGCCGCCTTTATTTTCTTTAGTTTCAAGGCTTCGTCCACCTTATTTCAAAGTTCCAAGTCCATATGTGTATTTCTATTCATTTATATGTGGAATACTAATATGATTTTAACATGGTATCAGGACATATAATTTTACTTCGACATATTACATTGATTAATCCTCCCAAAACTGATGCTTTTGTCATATTTCTAAAGGCTCCTGTAAGTCTTGCACGTAGATTCTCGTAAAAAATTCAAGTAATTAATGAAGACTTAATCGTGTTGGCACTCAATGAGGATATATATCTTGGGAGCTTTCAGCATTTCAGTGGAATTTTCTGGTTTTTGGAGCATCAAATCCCATGTGCTGGTGATCTACTAGGCTCTATAGGCATAGCCATTTGCATGTTTAACAGGAACATAAAATCATGAACCAATTAAGCTAGGAACAGCTAATCCCTGGCCAGCTGGGTTGTTTTGTGCGTCGATCTTTCATCTGTACAGTGACACACAATTAAATATAGCTTTAGGATTACAGTGTGGAAGGCGTTTGAGTTTGTTAAAAGTTTAGGTATTTTGTTTCTGTAATAAGAAGTTGGCCTTTGTTGTGTTTTAGTTTGCCCTTTAGCAAAGGGTAAGTCTATTAAAAAGAGTTCCTTACGATATGTAAAATTGGATCATTCCATTTTTCAAAGTTCTAGCCACAAAATTTAAATGAACTGCAAGCTATAAATGGCGAAAGGCCTAACCATATAGCTCCATATATATCCACATCCACAAAGTTCTTGCTTAGAGATAAGACCAGGCCTCCATTTGGATGGACAAATTTGAAAGAAAAAAAGGTCTTGATGACAAAGTTAAATTTTGTATATACAGCAGCCACTTAATACTATGGTCTAGTAGTATTCTTCTTTACTGGTAAGTGAGAGGTCTTAGATTCGATTATCGCCAAAGGCGAATTTGAATCATATTATTGCTAACTCATTGTGAGGCTTAGTTCACTTCCCCAAACCAGTGTAAATAATATCGTTTGCTTAAAAAAAAATTGTATGTACAGTAAACCCTCCCTACGTATAGTAATAACGTTGGGACTAAACGAATTTTACTTAATAGAGGTGCAGTTACAATTTTATTTATTTTTGACTTATTTATTATTCTTAATTAAAGGTCTATAGATACAAGGTACTACATTAATAGTGAATATGAATATGTCAATTACCAAGACACTAGGAAAAACGAAACACCTAGTCTCAAATATTAGTGCATGTATGTAGTGATTAGAACAGTGTTCTAAAAATCAGCCTAGATGGCCTCTAGGCTCTAGGCAGTGGAGGACCGATGTAATTTAGGCCGAAATATGGAGAAACATCAGGCAAGGGCTAGCTAGGCGGCCGCCTAGGCAAGTTAGGTGGGCTAGGTGGTGGCTAGGCGGGCTAGGCGGGCTAGGCGGAGGCTAGGCAGTTCCATTATTTTTAATTTTTTATTATTAAGTGAAGGGGTTATTTTGACTAACCTATTTAATTAGTGAATTTTCAATTTTGGTTTTTGATTTTTCTTATTTTTTGCTGCATTTGTTAGTGAGGATGGCAATATGACTTAAGTTTTAAATTTTAATTTTCCTAAATTCTCAATACAAGTATACTTTTATTTTTAGAGTGTAAGTAGGCACTTATTATGTGTTATATAATAAATTTAATTAAATCTGCCTAGTCCGCCTAGCCGCTTAGGCGCTAGGCCCCAGCTCGCTGCCCAACTAGCACCTAATTTTTTTAGAACCTTGGATTAGAAAGATATGTAAAAGAGTTTTGTTAAAGGTCATATTGACAATTATTATCAGGCAAGTTTTTTATGATGCAACTAAAAAAAAATAACTTATTACAATGTAAAGTACATTCTTATATATAATTGGCCCAAGTTGGGATCAAAACTTTTTATGAATGCATGGAGGTTATTCTTATATAAAGTATCACTATAGAGAGGTTTTACTACATCAATACCTAGTGTTCTAAAAATCTCCACCAAGGCCCCTTTGAGGCACTAGGCATTTCCACCGCCACGATTAATCTCTAAGTGTTTAAAAAAATAAGAAAGGTCGCCTAAACTTGCCTAGGCGCCTGCCTAAGTGCTCTTTTAGCCTGCCTAGGTTGCGACTCTCACATAGACAAAAAATCCCCGCATAGGCACTAAGTGGTGGCCATTGCCATGATTAATCTCTAGGCGTATAAAAAATTAGAAGTGACGCCTAGACCTACCTAGGTGCTCGCCTAACCTGCTAAGGTCGCAACTCTCACATAAACAGAAAATAGATAACTTTCATTTTGCATTTTATTTTTTCAATCAATTGGATACTTGGATAAACACTCATTATATGTTTGTTTCTAATGTTTTCATATGTTTTAGTTCTTTATAATTTATATGTCATTCTATTTTGTAATTATGTATCTTAATACAATATAAGTAGATATTTATTTATCTGTTATATAATAAATTTAATTAAATTTTTAAAAAAAAAAAAACCACCTAGGCCTCGCCTAGATGCACCTGCGCGCCGCTCGACTAGAGCATAGCATCTTTTGGAACCTTCTGAACACTAGATACATTGGATTGAACGTATATATGAAATGGCTATTGATTGATCCCTTTTTTCATCATTTTCTTATTATTCAAATCTTGTGATTATATATTAGTATATCTATTAGATTCTAAATGGAGAATCCCTTGATTCGAATGACCCTATAATGAAGGACGTTAATTAATATATGAGGAGTAGTCTAACTCTTTACAAGCATATACAAATTTTATTATCTTCCTGATGTGAGATTCATATTCTCAATATCTAGATGTCGATTAGTACATGATTATACTCTCCAACTGCTCATCAAACTTTGACAACACAAAATCCCAAAGACCTATGAAAAACTTTGTTGCACTCTAAACAAAGAGTAGAGGTTAAATGCATGAGAAATGTGAAGTGTAGTATATATTATATATGGATCGAAATACATATTTTCGTAATACGGGGAATATGATGATGATACCATATTGTAGATTAATCAATATTGAAATTACCCATTTTGACTACGTAGCGTTGGTATAACTTATGAGCTCCAACACGTCGATCTGAAACTCGACATGGATCAACTAGAACCCTACCAGTTGGCCTCGAACTCAGCCCTAATAGAAGCTCAAATTACAAAGTTACATAATATCGAATATAAGACCTTTTTCGAAACCATTTTTAGGTGCAGTTGCAGCATGAATTATTTGCGCAGGATCCTTCACTGTTGCACATGTAGTTATATTTAATCAAATTTCCCATTATTGTTGTGCGGCCTATCATGACGGTTGTGCAGGCTTCGTATTGTACAATAATCTCACGTTTAATTAAAACAATAATGTTGGTGTTCTTGCGCAACAACAGTGGAAATTTAACCAATTGATGGAGTGTACTGCTAGGGCTAGGGATGGATACAAAACGAATAATTACCAAGGAAAATAATACACCTTCCATATAGAGATTAGAGCTAGAAGATGGTGAAACCATCAATCTTCTACGACAAATCTTCTCTAACAAAACCTTTACTGCTCAAATCAACAATAGGCCTTTGATTCTATTTTTTGTAAGATCAAATGCCTACTATACATACACGTTCAATCTGTTAACCTTGTAGATGAAGTTCTATAACATTCCTGATAGTAAAGGATTCGAGAGCTTTGACAGAGAACGAAGAGAGAGAAGTAAAAATTGTATCAAATGTATTTCTTCTTATTTTCTTAATGTGTAAGCAACTGTACTTGAGTATTTATACAACAAACACAACAGACTAAACTAACACTACTCTTAATCCTTTGACACTTGTCATCATCTAACCCATTTACTTAATATCTCTAACACAATCCACTCGTCTCTTTTGTTATAATCCAAGTCGAACACTGACAAGGAATCCTTGTCCAACAATAAAGTACAAAATTAGGATAAAAACTGTGTTTCAATCCTATATCTTCGTTGCACTAATTTGACTCAAAATAGTTGATTATTACATTCATTTTCATGCTCATATTCTAACATATGAATAATGCTTGCACCCCCGTGCATCTGTACTTTGACCCGTGTGAATACTCTCTCTCTCACTCTCTCTCTCTCTCTCTCTCTCTACAACAACCAAATGTAAGCCAACAAAATCAGAGAAACAATCCCATCTAGGCCCACAACATCATAATCAACCCATAAAATCATAGAAATCTGTAGAAATAGACCCATGTAAGCCCACAAAATCATACAAATCAACCCATAAAATCACAGAAATCTGCTCTGACCCAAATGGAGTCAGCCCAGATAATCAAACAAAAAGCCCAAAAGCAACCGTACCAACTCCCACCGCAGCCTGAGGAGACCACAAGCAGTGAAAATTCCAATTTCGTATAGAAAATTGACATTTTATGTAACCAAGTTCATCGCATCAGTAATTGTTGGTGTTCCTCCCCGATCCTACATTTTTACAACTCAACTCAGCGAGCGAGCTATGATACTGGCAGTTGTTCGCCAACTCGGAAGGCAACATCCTAGTTGAACGGTAAGCGCAGATCTCCACCGTCCATTCATAGATCCCCATGATTTTGAATTGCTTTGCGTTTTTGGCTTAGAATTGTTGATTATGTTATACCATTTTGTGGGTTTGGTTAATCTAGCTTGGAAATATTATGGATTTGATCTGAATTGTGGTTTTGGGTTTTTCATTTCTGTGTAATATGTTGTTTTCTTTGTATGTATGCTGGGTTAAACCGGGTGGACTTTGATTTGCTAGGATGGTTGCTTATTTGTATTATATGGGTTTACGGGGAAACGCCGAATTTTAAATGGTACCCTTCTAGTTTCTATCTTACAAGATCTTGTCAGATCAAGATGTGAACAGGGTAGGCAACAATATACAACAAATCATGTTTTGTGTGTAGACATGGTATAGAGACCATGTAGCATTTACTATTGAAACCTCATCATTGTGCGTCGCTGTATAGTGTGTATGCAATTGCAATCTATATGGCATATATCGAAAAGGACTGATGGTAGAGCAGTTTTGAGTTGATTGCTTTGATGTCTTTTTGTACTTTGGTTTGCTGTCTTCGTGAAGCATTGACTCATTGGTTTTACGTCTTATTGAAGTTTCAATGGAGTTCCTGCTGAGGAAAGGCTGCATTGGCGATCTTTCCTGGTCAAACTTGGGGCAGATAATCTTAGGGGCGTGAAGAATGAAGAGCTCCTTGTTGCTTGCCACAAGTATGTATAATAGTTTCTATTGTTGTTGTGCGGATATAATGCATAATCTCTATGTTTAGATTGCCTTAGTATTAGATGACTAGTGTAATGGCATATTGTGTAATCAGAACTGAGCTGGAACCTGATTTTTGCCCCAGTGAGAATATAATGCTGGAATGTGATGAAAGTTGTAAAATTTATAAGCTAGAGATTGAAATTTGGTTTGTGAAGGGATTCCCTTTTTGGCATTAAGTCTTCTGCAAAGAACTCCATTGTCATCAGTATTTATATTAATAATAGAAACGTGACTCAGAATCTGGTACCATTTGACATGATATGACATGTGTTGATGTGTTTATCAGGTCAGTTTACATTGTTTACACTGTGCTTGGGGATGTCAGCATCTATGTCGTGGGCAAAGATGAGTATGATGAACTAGCCTGTAAGTATTCGGTGCTCCATTCAATAATATGATGCTGGTTTGTAAAAATGACAGGATGAAATTAATCAATCAAAAATCCAAAGTTGTACTTCACTGTTGTTGAGATTAAAGTTCTGGACCAGTTGTTTTTCACACCCCTTTAATACCTTTTCATCGGTAGTTTAGTTAGTTGCAAATATGGGCTTTTCCATTTTAGATGAGTAACTTTTACATGCTTTCCAAAGTAGTTTCATGTCATCAACCATGCACAAGGCTCTCACCTGTTACAGTGGGCCAGTTCACTATTAGGGAGGGTTGATGACTTTGCTTAGAAGAAACAAGCAAAAAAAGAGTGCTATATATTTCCCCAAAGATGTTTTAGTAGGACCGAATCTGATGTACAGCTTGGTGCAATTGGCGAAAGGTAGCAATTGTTTTATTTGTTTTTCGGTGGAAATTTGATGCCATCACCTTTTGTCAAAAAACGCAAAATGATAACTTTTTTAGACTGATGTGGTGCTTGCTGTAGTTTCACCATATTGTATCAATTGCTTTTAAATGGGAGATATGATGTACTTGATTTTATTACTGGTATTGCTTTGTTAACCCTGGATGGTTTCTTGCTAGTGTCGGAGGTGATCTTTGTTATAACATCAGCTGTGAAGGATGTATGCGGAAAGCCGCCAACTGAGCGCCTTTTCCTGGATAAGTACGGAAGAATTTGCTTGTGTCTGGATGAAATTGTTTGGAAGGTGAGCTGCTGGACATCCTTTAAAATAATTAGAGCGACAGATTCTCATTATAATAACATCAGAATCAAACCTTACATTTCCTTTTATTATTCGGGTTGATAGGAAGACTTGCTTTCATCCCTCGTTTCATCTCACATTTACTGGACTCCATATTGCACAACAGTTCTATGTTGCTGCCCAACCTTTTACTTCATAAACTTTATCTTCTTTGACATATGTTTTCCTGTACTTTGAAGGGATTGCTGGAAAATACAGAAAAGGATAGAATCAAGAGATTGATAAGGTTAAAGCCTCCAACTGATTTCTGAATCAAGCTTCCTACTGAATGTTGAACCGAAGGCAACGTTGAATTCATCCCCGGTGTATTTTCAGGCTTTGTGATAGACATTATGTTTTCAAACCTCGCTTGGATAAGATAATATGAGAATAGGTAATATTTTTCTACTCCATGAGAATATATTTTCTATACTCTATAAGATTATTCTTGAAAATACCTTGTAATATTTATACTGTCTTCCCAAAACAATGTGTAGTGAGTGTGTCGCCGTGGTAAATTTTTTGCCGGAGAAGACACGGTGGTTCATTAGGACGATTTGCGATATAAGTATGTCCTCCACTGAACTCCATGTAGCCCCGAGCTATGAATGGATTAGGGATCATTAGATAGCTAGAATAAAAAAATAACAGAGAAAACTACTGCGTTAAGAGGTCACTGGTCTCCAATGTTTAAAATCAGATTGGTGCCAAGCATAAAATTCAAATTTTACTATACAAATGTTAATAATAAGAGTTTTTACTATCTACAATTTTATAATCGCAAAGGTTAAAATAAATAATAAAAAAAAGAACTCCCGGACATGAGTGTTGTCAAGTTGACTAGGGCATTGGGTTCTCTCTTTGCAATTAAATTTAAATCCGTTTATGTATAGTTTAAGCGAACGAGGAGTTGGTAAAGATTGTTCAAGGCTTAGGTTTGAGTCTCGATGCCGATAATCTCTCTTGGTGGTAGATTTGTAAAAAAAAAAAAAAAAAAAAAAAAAAAAAAAAAAAAAAAAAAGGGTTAAGACCCTTTCTATAATTCCTCAAAAAGACTTGTGATGTAGGCTCTGACCTTAGAATGAGGTAGCTTTCCCTCCTTCAATACTTTTTTTTTTTACCAAAACAATAAAAAAAAAAGAAATTTAAGTCCCTGAGAAAGTCATACATTGATCACAAAGGAGGCAAATTGTATAGAACAAAAGTGCTTACTAATCGAAAATCATTAAACTCATTATTTAAATGACGTCACTTAAAATTTTTGGAAAGCCTTTAAATCTTCATACTCCCACAGTTACTATGTTCTGAAAGAAATGCAACTTCGCAGAATTATCTTGCAAAATTGGAGTATTTTGGCCCTGTAGAGAATTTTGAAATTTTGATACAATGATTCTAGCCTCTTAGGTCCCATTGGGGGTTTTTTTTTCCACCAAAAAGTACTACTTCAAAGTTAAGCAATAAAAAAATGTTTGGTAAAAACAAAACATCCCGCTTAGTTTTAAAACAACGACCTCCAGACAGCAGCTTTTAAAAGCAACAATCAAAAAAGACAAATTTGAGTTTGTACATGCACCAGCTTGCTAGTATTAGAAGACAACAAGAATCTTATAGAGTTGCTATATGCAAGTGGAAAAACTAGTTATATACAGTGAGTTAGTAGGTGCATAATTGTTTGACCATGACAACTTGAGGAACCAAGAGGACGGCAATGAAAGGAGAAGGCTTGTGGAGCAAGTGTAGGTGCGGAGAGGCATGATGCCAATCAGAGTCTCTTCAGAGCCAGTGTCCAAGAACACGATGGTGTTCTTAATTGCTGCTTCCATTGCTTCTAGCTGGTAACTGCAAACAATGATAAAATATAACAGCTTGACAAACCCAACCCTTCATATTGAATTCAAAATTGTTTATATTTTAGCAACCAAATAATCAAGAAGATAACTGGGGAGTGAAAGCAGCAACCACAATCTGCTTATGAAGTGAATGAAATTGTAATTTGTAATTTTTGGTTTTGTCAGCAACCAGACAATGAAATTATGTGAAAGGAGGAATGGCTCTATCTAACCAAATAACATACATTTAAATTTGCCAAAAAAAAAAAAAAAAAAAAAAAAAACATACATTTAAAAAGAGTAAAAGAAGGAAAAACAAGACAAGACCTTCTGGCAAATGGGAGAGGATCAAAGTCATCAGCTTCTCCACTATTGGCATCACCACCATACTCTTACAATTATTGATTCCATACCATCACCATCACCGGCTCCACAATTACCACCACTACTATTACCACCAGCATCAGCATTGTCACCACTATCGTCGCCATTGCCTATGATTGCAACCACCAACATTATCCCACTACCACTATCACAACCACTGTCTTTGCCATCGCCAACAACAAAGCAATTGCCACCATCACCGTTGTGACCACTGTTACCTCTACACCCCAACCACGACACCCTATTATTGGTACCACCACAACACCCTTCCCCCCCTGTTGGCACTGCCATCACTGCCACTACCCTGCCACCGCTGTTGTTGTCACCACGCCCACTACTATGTTTATTTTTGTCATACAATCACTTTTACATTGAAAATTTTCAAACGCTTTTAGGCTTTTTATACTCACAACACTTTTGAAAATACAGTTTATCAAACGCTCAACTCTTTTATTTTACAACTAGTTATTCTTAAAGCGCAACATAAGCGGGTTTAGAAGAAAAAAACATCAATCCCAAAAACTGACCCTTAGTTCTATTCTCTAATTTGCTTTGCGTCAAAAAGCCTCCAAAAAAATACATCTTAATCATTTATCGTACATTATGTAGTCATAATTCATTTGAATTTTATTATTTAAAATTAAACACAAATGGTAATTAAAGAAAACTAACCACATGATGTACAATAAATAGTTAGAATGTGAGGATCCCTAAGATCACCACAAAGATGATCCCTAGGATCCCCACAAAGAGGATCTGGAGAGGATCCTCATCCTCCAAGGGGTACTAAAGGTTAAAGTAAAAGCGTACAAATACGAATACAAAACATACCTTTTAAGCGTGATGGGTTACTAAAATGTATTCTGAAATTGACTGAATTTGTGGTGGTTTTCATACTTAGTAATTGTTGACAACATGAAAAAAAGAGATAATGGTACACCTAATCTCATAATAAAATACCACAATTATAGAGACCGATATATTTTTCTTTGCCTGATCTCTTCCTAATTAAGAAAAAGTAATTTTCACATATCACGTATTTCCTCCTACGCACATTTATTTATTTTTCGCTTTCATATTAAAGCAGTTAAAAGAAAAGTAATGAAAAGGATGTGAGAAAATCATTTTCCCAAATTAATTTATGTTCGTCATGGTATGCAATGCATCTCTATACATATAACATCCCACATATTTGTCTTCAGTTGTCCCTTTTTCTCCTACTCAAAAACTATAGTCTATTGAAAGGTTGTTATGGCAATAGCAATGAAGGCTCGGGTGACTTTAGCATTCCTCCATTTGGCTTTCGTCCAAGCAACTTGAACCAGTCCACAGCTACAACACCAACCCCATCCCCAACCTCTCACTTCCTTGAAGTTTCAACAACACCCAGGTCCGTCTGTTAAGAGTGTTCACCTGTGTACGTTCAAAGTTCGATTTTCTCCCTCCTCCATATCACTTGTGTCAAAAATAAGCTTGCATTGCATTCATTATTTGTTGATCGTAAAGTTCTATGTTTGTTAAATTGCAATTGTACATATGAAAATACTAGACAGATAAAAATTGCTTTGGTTTATACATAATTGTATGCTATATCTTACGCAAGAACATTGATAAGTATGGCTCTTGTAGAATGTAAATTTGTACGTTATGTAAATAAAGACTGTACTTCACCTCCATATATGTACTCGAGATCAGATCGGAATTAAAAATTTGGTGATGCTAACGGCCATAATTAAGGTACTTATAATTACTTCCCTTCAAATAGTAGTCGTGTTAAAGACTATGAATCTGAATTACTCATTAAATAAAAGTATTTTTGTTTACTATTTTGGATATGTTGCCTAGATTGATACTTGGACGTATTACAAAAAAAAGGGTGCTTTGGCAATGTAACATACTAAATTGTATGAGCGTATATTATCTTAGAGTTTATTTATCACTTGTGCGCAATATTTACTCATAACTCTTGATAATCATCAAGTGTTTGCTAGACTAGACGATCCATGGTTGCCTGTGAGATTCAGGCGTTGCTCTAAAGATAGATTTCCGATTATCGGGCCATGCACGTCCGGGACATGCATGGTATGTGCATCTTTATAGGGTTGGACAATGGGGGGAAAGAACAGGGCGTGGCAAGATAGTATTAAAGATTAAAGTGAAAGATGCAAATATGTGCATGACAACATTGGTTAGACTGAATGTGCTCTTCTATGCATTCGAGTTGGAATCCCCCTTTCGTAATTAAAAAAAAAAACAATCATAATACCATGGTTTAAGAAAATAAAAAATAGATTATTGTTATTTTTTACAAATGCTAGATATAATCTTTTCTAAACCCAACTAAATATAAGAAGAAAGATAGTTTGAACTTGGAACACGATGAGTTAAAAGAGGAAGGTCCTATCTCATCAAGACAATCCATCACTTTCCAAAACAATAGATAAAAACAAAGAATATAAAAATATAGACCTCTTAAAAATGGACGGTTTCTAAAATAAATTCTAGAAATGACTGTTTGCAGGGCTTTTTTCATACCTAGTAATAGAATTTCTTGACAACATGACAAAGAGATAATGGTGTACACACTTAACCTAATGTCATAATCAAATATCACAACCATAGAGATAAAGTTTCTGACTGTAATCCACCCTTAGTTAAGCAAGTGATAAAGACTTGCACACGAACGACCGACTATAGCATTCTTATACCCTATATAATGATATATCCCCTCTCTCTTATTCAGACTATTTTTTTTACTGAAATTAAGTTGAAGGTTATGTCAATAACAATGAAGGCAGCAGTGACTTTAGTGCTTATCTTCACCTTCATGCAAGCCACTTCAACCATTAATGCACAACCCCAACTCCTCCCATCCACTCGGGTATGAGAAAATTCCTCGGTAAATAGTTAATCAACAAAGTTCTGTAAATTACTAATGAATATATGAAAATAAATAGAGAAAATATTACTTATTTAAATTAATACATATGTGTTCTTTTTCTAAAAATTGTGTGTAATAATTTTTTACTATATATCCTAATGTATTAATAAAATTAATAGATATGGGTTTTTCCAGAATGTAGGTAACTGTTCTTACGTGGTGAAGATAAAGACTAGCTGTACTTCGGCCCATTACACACTAAATCAGATCAATATCACGTTTGGTGATACTTTGAATAAGGTACTTCTCTCCCAAATTACATTATACAGATACAAACTCATATACAATACAGATAGTCTAGCTCTATGTCGGAAATAATATATTGCGTGACAGGCTTATACATGTTTGTAAATTTACATAGCGCGAACCTAAAAATGTCATCTAGATTGATGTCTGCCA